AGCAAGTTGATAAAAGATAAATAAAAGTTTGTGCAAACGAAAAAAAGAAAGATCAAAATTGATAAGTATGCCAAGAAAGTGTATATTTAATTTAAAAACGGGATCGTTGCATTTTCTTTCTCCTCTTTCATAACTACTTGGGCTTGTCGTAGTAGTCGTCGTAGTCGCGTAGTCGTCGTAGTAGTCGTCGTAGTCGTTTAAACTGATTTGTGTTTTAAACTTTCGCTCACTGACCTTTGGATTCGGCGTACTCGTCGTAGAGTTCATTCAATTCCTTGTAGTTCGTCGCAGTGAGTCCGCACTTCGAAGCCACGTTTACGATCAAGCAAACATGATTTTCATACCTAATTATTTTTAAACATACAATTTATGTATAACTAAATATTCAATTTTAAATTCAATTATATACTATTGTACTCTTTAGATTTTAATTGAATTTATTTATTTAAAAAAAAAAAAAAAAAAAAAGAAAGAAGAAAATACTCACTTCGATAGAGGAACTTCTTCACCTTTAATGGAAGTAGCCGTAAAATCGTAAATCGATTTGGCCGATTTGTAATCCTGATTTCCACTCATGTTTTCAACAGCTGCAAAAATTTTCAACAGAACAAAAAGAAATTAATTTCATTCTCGAACAAAATTCAGAAGATATTTTATTCAAAGGTTCTTTTGTTTTTTTTTTTTTGCTAAAATGTCTTATCGCACTACATTGTTTTTTTATTTTTTATTTTATGCAATAAAAAGAAATTTTGTTTTAAAAATCAACCCTTGTTAAATCAGTCAAGTGTGGATGGCGGCGATCTGTGCGCAAAGCGCGCTCTGGTGTGTGTCGCGATAATCAAGCGATGACGGATATAATCGTCGTCAAACACAGAGTAAATGGTGGGCGCTGTTAAAATATTGGATAGTCAAAAAAAAAAGAACGACTTTATTTTAGAAAATGAACAATTTTGAACATAACAAAAATTACGAATATAATTTAAATTACAATTTACACATCAAATTGTAACAAATTTTATACGCATGAGACGCATATATAGACGTCATAACACTAAATTTTGCCACATCTCCATAAGCGAATATAGTCGTCATAACACACTTAACTGGTTAAACTAAAATTCGTTAAAGTACAATAGTTAAAATAATATTTTGAAAATTTAAACAAACACACACGCTTAACAACACATGTATTATAACTGTATAAAATAGTGCTATTATCTACAAAACCACACACCGGTTTTGTGAATTTGCGTATATGTTTGTGTGTGTGTGTGGAATTCATGGCATTTGTTATTTATGTCTTAAGCAGAGGGGGTTGGTGGTGTATGCGAGTAAATAGAAAGGAAAGAATTTGTATACAAAACGTAATCGTGTTCACGGAATATTTAACAAACATAAATTTCAACGTTAAAATTTGGAGGAAAAACTGACGAAAAATGTACTCACATACATTCCGTAGATTTTTTTTTTTTTGGTTTTGTTTTGTTTTGTTTTGTTCCCCCATTATTGTTTTTCTCGTGAACTCGATTACATTTTATTTTTATTTTGGGTGGGTAGTTTTGTTTTTTGTTCGATCGGATAATTTGAAAACGAGAAATGATTTTTTTTTTTTTCGAAATATTACGTAATGGTGGAGGATTATTATTCTCGGAATTAAAATGCACACTCTGAACGATTGATTCTCTTCTTCTTTTTCTTTCTCTCTCTTTTTTTTTTTTNTTTTTTTTTTTTTTTTTTTTTTTGTTTATTTTCATTCATCGAAATCAAAAAAAAGAAAAAAATATGGGTTCGTTGAATTTACGTGCCTGTTATGGATCGAACGAGAAGTGGAAAAGCTCCTGGTAGCAATGCGAGTTTTTTTATCGCATGCATTTTCCATTCGTGAGAACGTTTAACTTGTAACGGGTGTTCCTGAAATTTGTAGTGCAAACTTTCAATTAAGCACTTCAAACGCGCACTTACTACTTCATTTCTTTTTTTTTTTTTTTTTCAAGTAATCAAGTGTGTTTGTGATTAAACGTTACATGAGAAACAACAAAATAAAACCAAACGAATCAAATGAAAAATCCATTATAAGATTAATTGGGATCTATAGTATCTTAAATACGCTATCTGATGGCTAAATTCAAAATTCATAAAATTTCAAATTTTCAAATCACCCTAATTCTAAAGAAGTTTATACTTCAAAAAAAAAAAAAAAAGAAAAAAATAGTGCATCGTGAAAAAGAAAACTTTATTATGAAAGATTGACTCATTTAAAAGCACAACGTCGTTGTTCATACAACAGGATCTTCACATCCGCCTTTTTCAAATATCGATGTAAACCCCGATAAGAGATACTTTCCAAGAGATAACGTACACCTATCACGTCACCGATATTACATTCTTTTAATCACTATATAATTTAAAGATTTTTCAAATACATTTACAACATTACTCGTTGTACGATAAACGATCATTGAGAAATGAATAAATGTGTTGTTTCATCATCTATCAATTGTATCATAAATCTGATTATAATCGTGCGATAAATCATTTATTTCTCGTCATAATCATATATATATATATATATATATATACATATATATAGGAACATGCATATGTACTTTAATTTAAAACTGGTTTTAGATTCGACATTAACCTCAATCCTTTTTTTAGGAAAACCTTTTGCATTCGTTCAAAAGAAAATTCGGAATTCAAAGAAAGCTTGACGTTTGACGATGCTTTTCCATTAAGTTTCTCTCTTCATATATACATTACATCTACATATGTATGTATATGTAATGTATACTGCATACGTAATAATACATACATTTATGAATATCATTTTTGTGTTTCATATCAAGAAAAAAAAATTGCATTCTCATATTCGAATTATTTTGAATGAATACGCGTATTTAAAAAAAAAAAATAAACATTGTTTAAATAAATAAAAATGTATTGAAAATAATAGAAGAAAATGACAATGATAAATATCATGAAATTTATTGGAATGATTATCGACCGAGATAAAACTAAAATATTTTTTTCTATTTCCGACAGTCGGTAAGAAATCTTTTACCGACCAAGCGTCGATTGTAACACGTCGCGCCATCTGACCAGTCAACGCATGTACTAAAATATCTTTCGTTACTACGCCGACTTGGCTTTTTCCTATCAAATTTCGTGTATTCTCATTTCCTCTTCTTCGTAGTTATTTAACGATAATTAATATTGTTATTAAAAAAAAAAATAATAATAATAATAATAATAAAGATCGTTGTTCTCACGTTGTTAGAATAATATTCTTACCGAAATAAATTCGATGTGATAAAAATATACTAATAAGAAGTAGCACAACACTTATAGGTAAAATGAAACCACCAGCACAATCACGTCGCATCGGCTCCCTTCTTCGTACTGACAAACCGATGCGCAACTTTCGTCTAATAGACGCGTAAGGGGATGCGAGGGGAAGGACGAAGGTTCAGGAATATGGTGGGAATCCGTTAGACCGAATGCGCGCGACGATTTTCACATGAACAGTAACGTAATCACTGTTGACATACGAATTGTTCAAAATGGTGTAATATTTTTTTAGAATCAACAAACAAAATCTATCGATCATAAAATTTCAACACAACAATAACAAAAATATTATAAATGATTATTTTTACGATTACATTAATGCGCATGCGTTAATATTACAGTAATTATAGTAGGGGGGGGGGGAAGTATATAAGAAAGAGGTGAGAAAGACAGATCTCAATTCAAACTGATTTCACACACAACATATATATATATAAATATGGAATAAAGTTACAACTATTATTAATAATTTCCTTAGGTTTTATAAATAAAGTAATTACATAAATTATTATCGAGAAACATTAAAATTATTTTTAGATGATAATTTTTTATATTTTTATAATTTCTTATCTTACGTAACTATATTTCTAATTATATTTTTGTTATCGTGTACATTTCGATATTCTATTATCACTATTATCTTTTTTTTTTATTTTTTTTTTTTTTATTTTTTTTATCTTTTTCTCGTATAAAAAAGTATTAGTTCTTTTCTTCGTTATACATTATTTTTCTTTGATTAATTATAATATTGAAAAATTATTGAATTTCATGTTCCAAGTAATGACTTGATTTTTATGAAAGAATTGATATGTACACCTACGTAGTATATTATTCCTCCCAAGTTGAAAGAAGAAGGTAAAAGTACAGATTACCTTCTTAAATATTTGATTTGCGGAAAAAAACGATGACATGTTGCAATCCAACGACATCTGTTCACCGTGACACAGCAAATATTCTTTAGAATGACCAATGTCAATAGGCTTAACAATTCTCATAGCATTGATTATAAAGATTTATAGACAATTATTTCTCTTATTTTACACATTATATTTGTTTATTATTTTTCTTTATTTATTTCAACAAAAATACTATTTTTCTTGGATAATGTTAAAATTTCTACAAAATACACAAGAAAGAATATTTGATTATAGATTTAACGATTTACCCTTTAGTTCAAAGAAGTTTCGATCGAAATTTAATGTGTGTCTACTATTTTTTCAACACTAGCAGGTGTAAAGCGTGAGAAAATAAAACCTAAGAACATATTGCGAACCTTGACTCTGATATTAAACATCAAGGTAGCTCAAGTTACAAAACAATGTGTTATTAAATATCCAAGAGTATCACACGTCAGTTGGAAGGCGTCGTTTTCTTGGTCCATCATTAAAATCTTTGATAATTGTTTAGTATTTAATATAATATTATTGAAACTAAATATTTTAAAAAGTTTTACGATTGAAAGATTTGCAAGTTTGACAAATCTCCATTATTAGCTCGGGGTACTGAAAACTCTCGATACGATCCTGTCATATTCAAACTGTATTTTAGTCGTTAAAAAAAAAAAAAAATAGATTCTATTTAATTGCTTATCAAAATCATTTGTAATCGATTTTTGAACTAATGTAAAATGTATGTATTTTTTATTGTTACAGTACATTGGTTCCATGGAAGGTATTTAGACACGAATTAAATCAAGTGCATCAGATAAGTTCTGGATTACAAGCAATGGCACTGAAATCAACGATAGATCTCACGTGCAACGATTACATCTCTAATTTCGAATTTGACGTATTTACGAGGTAAAAATCAAATTTTTATTTAATTATATTTCAATATAATCTCACAGCTTAATTATTAATAAAATATATATAAATAATTGTTTCCTCTTTACCTTCCCAAATGTAAAGATTATTTCAACCATGGTCGACATTATTGCGTAATTGGAAAATATTGGCTGTGGCGCATCCCGGTTACGTTGCCTTTCTCACGTACGACGAAGTAAAAGCACGATTGCAAAAATATTGTATCGCCAAACCTGGAAGTTATGTATTTCGATTAAGTTGCACGAGATTAGGTCAATGGGCAATCGGATATGTCACATCGGACGGAGATATCCTTCAAACAATACCGCACAATAAAAGTCTTTGTCAAGCACTTTTAGACGGTTATCGGGAAGGCTTGTAAGTAAAAAAAACAACAACAATAACAAATTACTATTCCGATATTGTTAATTTGATTGAACTTATGCTAATTTATGATTAAACGTTATTCCAGTTATTTATTTCCCGACGGTCGTAACATTAATCCGGATTTAACGTGGGCGGTACAACCAACACCGGAAGAACACATTAAAGTTACGGCAGAACAATATGAATTGTATTGCGAAATGGGTAGCACATTCCAATTGTGTAAGATTTGTGCGGAACATGATAAGGATGTTAGGATAGAACCTTGTGGACATCTACTTTGTACACCATGTCTCACAGCTTGGCAGGTAGCAGTATTTTTTATTTTAATATATAAACAATTTATTTTTATATTAAGTGTCTAGCAACAATACGAATTCTTTGAACAATCATTATTATTATTATTATTATAATTTTGGTATTATCTTGTTTTCATAGGATTCGGAAGGGCAAGGTTGCCCATTTTGTCGAGCAGAGATCAAAGGTACCGAACAAATCGTAGTGGATCCATTCGATCCTCGAAGAACACATCGACCTGGAACCCTCACATCATCGTCATCATCATCAAACAGTTCATCAACCCCCACGCGGGATCTCGACCCCGACACCGAGGTATCCGACTAGGAGTAGCACCTACCAACCCCTTCCTTTAATTATTACATGTGCTATCTGTGTATAACAAATTACCCCAAAACATAAACACAGTAAGCTTCATTTTCAAAAGAAATATGCCTGACGATATCATCACCTCAAACGCGCATTTTCTTCATGATCTCGAATATTTTAAATGAATATCCTCTCGTATTTTATCGTTAGATTTTTGAAACGATTCATACGAGAGGAAAAAAGTATTATAGAATGTTGTCTCGAAAGTGATTAATTAAGGCCAATGACCAACAATCTAATTTACTTTAAAAGCCATCAAATTTGTTGTGTCGAGTCGGAATGCTGAAAACGAAAGAAAGAAAGAAACAAACAAACAAATAGTTAGATATATTTAACAAGATAAGATCTAAGGGGACCAATTTTTTTTTTTCCAAATCTTGATCAAAGTTTTTCGCGCGAGAGTCTTGTTTCTTTTTTTTATTTATTTATTTTGTTGCTTGAAATTAATTCGTTAAAAACTAAACTTCTAAGTGATCGATCGAGAACTCATTTGCCTGATTCAACAAAAAGAAAAATGCCAACAAATATTATTCTAAGAAGAAAATCATTTATGTCGACGGTGATCATAAAAGTGGATTTAAATTGTTGAAAATATTAATAAAGTTGTTATTAAAATTTTTTTAAATGATTGTAAACAAATTTATACCACTTTTGTAATCACTGTCACATTTATCATCGTTGTGATCGATTACTTTGAAGCTTGTTTTTCTTCTACTTCTTCTTCTTCTTTTTCTTCTTCTTCTTCTTCTTCTTCTTCTTCTTCTTCTTTTTCTTCTTGTTTTATTTTGTTCATCTCAATTGATCATAGAACAGCACAGTGAGAATGCGATTTAGCATTTCGTTGTTTATCTCTGTTATTTTTTTCTACTTTCTTTTTTTTACTAACAATAACGTTACAACACTTGTACAATTTATCAAAAAAAGTTTGCTAAAAAATCTCTCAGTTTTGTTCTCGAGTCATCCTGGACATAACCCTTGGAAGGTAGGTTCGCTTTCTTTTATTTTTTTGCATTTTATTAGAAAGCTGTACCGTTCAAGGCTTATTGTACCACCAATCCACTGTTCTCTCATTTCATTGTCACCAATCAACGAACGCGAATACTCGAGGGAAAAATGGGCAAAATTCAACAACAACAGCAACAATAACAACGAAGACGATTTCAAATTTCTTCTTTTTTTTTTTTCTTATTGCAATTTTTTCATTGCTTTCTGGAGTGATGTTACAGCAACAACAAAAAAACACAATTCTCATTTATTCCTCCTGTTTTGTCTCAGGACCGTATTTAAATTATTAAATGCCATAGGCGCAACATGCTTATATAAATGCTTCAACAAAAAATTCATTTTATTTATTTATTTATTTATTTATTTATTTAATTAACATATTAGTCTGCTTTTATATCGTTGTTCATGTAAATGTAAGTGTAAGTTTTATCAAAAAAAAAAAAAAAATGTAGTCCCATAGAAAATGAGATTGCAACCACTGTTGCGCTTAATGCACTTTATGCTAAAAATACGGTCCTAAGGGGGTACTCATTTATCATTTAAGAATGGCTAATTATTTTCTCTATCCAAGAGGTTTGCCAAGCCATTAAAAAATAATATAAATAAACAAGAGAGTAATTATAATTATTAAGCATATTTTTCTTCTGAGACGTGTAATTCGTTACATAGATACGATTAAAAAGATTTAACTTAATATTTATCATCGCAATGGACTTTCGACGGAAAAATATTGATCGATTAAAAGACAAACAAAAAAAAAAATATATATATATATATAATAATAATAATATTAATATAATATTTCAGAAAGAGGGATAGAGAGAGAGAGGGAAAAGAGAAAGAGGCCTTCGGGTCGCGCATTAACCCTTTGACTGCTAAAGGCGTATATATACGCTCTCACAAATCCATCAATATACACGAAAGGCGTAAATATATATAGGCCCCTCTGTATTTTTTTTTTACTATAACACCTTTATTGCTGTATTATCGATTAATTTAACATGGAATTTATTGTGATATGTAACATAACAACTAAATATTGGTAAATTATTTCAATGTCGTTTAGTTTAATTGCTTTTATATTTGAAATTCGTCGTCTATTTTAATTCTATCATCTTTATTCGTTCATTATGGTTTTATTATTTTTATAATTAGGATTAAAATTATTCAAATATCCTGTTGTTAAAGTTATTATACTCGTGTGTTACATTATAAATTTCTGTACTTTTTTTTTCTTTTATATTTAAATTATCGATTATTATTGAAGTAATGCACAAAAGTAAATAAAATAAATTCAAATAGCTTAAAAAATTACTTTTTTAAAAATTCATATTTTTATTTTATTTGTCCATTATTATCTGTTTTGGTCAGTAATCGAATGGAAAAACAGTCGCAACGACTGCTAACATGCGAGAAATCACACCGTTCATATTAATGGATTGGTTTGAGAGCGCACCACAGTCAAAGGGTTAATTATTTATAACTTATTATCACATTTAAAAATAATATTTTCATCTTATATAATAAAACGTACATATACATGTACAAATGTATAACACAATGAATCGGTCACGATAATTGCGATTATACCTATCACCAGTATTCTGTATGGTTAAGGATCGAGCTTTAAATCGATTGTTCGTTTATTCAATTTGACGAACCATTTAAAAACAACATAGTGTGTGTATATGTATATATATACATATATACATACAAGGTGTTTTCATTAACCCTTTGGCTACAGCATGCTTTTGCCACGAATATATCGTTCCATATAAATTCGCTCGTACACATACGCATAATCGCATGGTACGACCCCCATGATGGGGGGGTCGGTCAGTCTTCGTTCATACAGGGCCTTTGCATGGACGACCCTTATATGGGGTCGCTAGTAACGAAAGGATTAAATGAGACACTCTGTATATGTATGTATATGTATATATATAGGTCGATGCAAAATTAGAGAAAGGTATGGAAAACAACGTATAACAAAATAAGAGATAAAAAAAAAAAAAGAGAAAATAATAGTTAATTTAGTTAATGTGAAATATGTCAACGATTGTGTGCGTATTAATTTGTGTAATCTGTTAAAACTAATTATACACACACATATATATATATATACTTACACATATATCCATCCGTTGGCGGTAGAAGAAAGAGATTGTTTTGTTGTAACATGGTATCGTATTTTTTTTCAAGCGAAACATTTTATCATTTTAAGCGAAATAATTTTGATCATTTACTTTTTAGTTGTTTTTTTTTAAACTATTTATTATTTATTTCGATAATATAATGGATATACAATTTATTTTGTATGTCAGAAGAATTTTTTATACCGGTGATTTCGATTAGCACATTATATACACGTATATATATATACACAATATCGATTCAAATTCTGTACCGTATCATACATAATTTTATTAATGAAACGAATAATAATAATCTAACGAGAGATGACTTATTATTATTATTATTATTATTATTATTATTACTGAAATAATTGATAATAATGGACTATACTGACTTTTTTTTCTTCTTCTTCTTCTTTTTAATGATATCATTTTTCAGTCAATTTTTCTAATAGTAGTACAAGACAATAATACGTAAGTTGAAACTTAAATAGTAGCAACTATTAATTCACAACCGATACAAAAGTGTTACATGTTTGCACCTGTTACTGTCCTTCAAGGTAGTCAGCAGCGTTGTTTAGAACCCATTGCCAGCGATGTGGAAGGTTTAGCAGAGCCTGTTTTGTTGATGGTACGAATGGAGTAGTCTATTTCCATGTCTCATCCAGTGTTACAATCATAGAGATACTACACATAAAACAAACAAGCCAGCATAAAACCTGTCGGCGAAATAAAAAGAGATAGAACATGAGAGGTTGATCTGTTGTCTCTCTCTAACTTGCGAGTCTTTTGTGTTCCCCATGAGTTAGAGTGAGACAACATCAACCTTTCGTTTTTTGCTGCCTATATTCATGCAGAGACATTTCCACTTACACAACTGCCGTCTATGGTTTGTTTCCTCTATCTGTAATATCTCTATGGTTACGATACGGTGTAAGAAAGGCCTCTCCTTCGAACTCATAGCACTCCAGGTGCATCTGAGCAGCGTCGTAACGCATATCCATTTCTGCATTTCCGTCAATTCATGCGGAACCCATCATGGCATTCACTTCGAAACTGTTCCAGACATTTGACAGGCAGTAGACAGCTCGATTCGCACCCATCAACAGAACAGGCTCTGCTGATGGTATACTAAGCCTTCCAACATCGCTGGCAATGGGTTCTAAACAACGCTGGTGACTACTTTGAAGTAGTCAAGCTGGTGGTGACTCTTTTGTATCGGTTGTGAATAAATAGTTGCCACTATTTAAGTTCCAATCTACTTATTTAATATAAAATCTCATTGTYAAACGCGTGTTGTTACCTAATATATATATATATATCAATTCTCCTAGTTATTAGTAATTAATTGTACAACAATTAACATCGTTAGCTGTGTTTAGGTTTACGTCATTTTATCGCGTTTGTTTTCTTCATTCATTAGAGTTTCTTTTTTATTTTATTTTCAAATAAATTAATGGTGTCACGATTAAACAATATCGAGAGTGTTTATACGCACACACATATATATATGTGGTGGTATACAGGGTGTTGTTAAAGAAAAAAAAAATTGATTGATACTTCGGAAGAAAATATAAAAATAAAATATTACAGATAAACTTTTTTTTAATGTCATGAGTTTTATTCTAAATTTATCTTACGAGATTTTCTGAAGTATTGATCAAACCTTTTTTTTTTTAAAAACTAACTCACCCTGTATTTATGTATATTGTAAGCACATATCCTTTTAATTCAATGTGAATTTATAATACTAAATAATTATCTGACAAATTTATACGAATGATCTTTCCACAGTAAAAGAAAAAACAAAAGGGAAGATAAATAAAATGAAACAAAAAAAGAAGAAAAAACCAAAGAAAATGTTTCTCGCGAAGGAATTGTGTTGCAATAATTTTTTTTTTTTTTTTGATTATCGTGTGTTCGCATGAGAAAAATTTGAATATTTATTTCATAACGTTATCTACTGGGTGGTCCATTGCGCTCTGTCTGCCCGCTGCATGATCGAACTAATCGGTAATGTACATACCTGTGAGAAGGAGAGATGTCACGTGTTAGAAAAAAAAAAGAGATATTAATTAAGGTAAGTTCATAGACCATATCTCCGCATTATGGCAATCTCTCTCGCTTTTATTTCATTTTTTTATCATTTCTTTTATATATATATATGTATATGTATTGTATTAATTTATTTTCATTTTTTGTTTGTTTGTTTCTTTAGCGCTTTGTAATAATATTAATAATAATAATAATAATTATGCTACTGCCAACTCTTTGTAACGTTTACACGCTCTCATTTATTTCGTTTTAAGAGAATCAAAATGATGCTGCTGCATTTAACATAGAGCAAAAGCCCACGACAATCAGACCTTCGTTATTTTATAAAAGCTGAAAGTTTTTCTGTGCATGTCCGTCCCCTATACAGATAAAAACGACCAGCGACTATACAGTTTGGGTTTGTGGTTACTTGGACAGGTAACAGGTAGTAAAGGTGTATACCTTAAATTCGTTAAAGTATAAAGCTCAAGTTTTGTATATTTTCTTCAGGATAACTTTAGAAATCTCGTCATCCATTGCCAGACACTTATGACAGTTGCTACCCCCTGCTTTAGTTGACACCCCTAAACTGCATGCTGGGTATCTCAATGGAGAGATACCGGTAAAGCAATCTACCTCTGGTCTCTTTTATACTATAACGAAAGTATAATTATAATTTATTAAAGTTTATAAAAATGACGAGATTTCTAAAGTTATTCTGAAGAAAATATTTAAAAAAAATTGAGCTTTATACTTTAACGAATTTAACGTTTATCCGACGCAGCACGCGCGCCGCAGCGAACTGTAAGAGCGGCATTTAAAAAATAAAGCATTGCTTTTTTTTGTCCATTTCGTGGTTTTTCGAAGAATATTATAATAAGACATATATTGGTCTGCACGATCGACTTCTTTCATATATTTGTCTACATTGAAACGGGGAGATCTCCCCGATCGGTCGGCTAAGTGTTAATGTACTATTTTATACACCTTTACTACCTGTTACCTGCCCAAGTAACCACAACCTAAACTCATAGTCGCTGGTCGTTCTTATCTGTATAGGGGACATGTACAGAAAAACTTTCAGTTTTTATAAAATAACGAAGGTCTGGTCGTCGTGGGTTTTTGGGCTAACAAACACTACTTCTTGGCTTTTTGGTGATAAGATGCGGATTATCGAATATTTCACTTAATATATGTAATAGTATATTTATTTTCTATTTTGTATCATTTGATAGAATATTTTATTACTGAAAAATATTTGTAAATATAGATAATAATTTAAAAAAAGAAAATGATTTGATTTGGCCCCTGTATCACTGCATAGTTCACACACCCATGAATACAATCTTGATAATAAATATACTATAATAATTTATATTTTTAAGATTAAAGTATTGCAAATTATATTTAAAAATATTATTATATTAAATTATCTCGTGCAATGCTTTAATTTATTTAGGAAATATCACATAATTACAACTGCGTAGTCGTCCATGTTATTCTTACAACAAACATACGAATCATCTTATCAACGTAAAGAAAAAGAAAGAGAGAGAATGAGAGAAGGATTTTCATGTATCAAATAATCTTGCATTGCATTTCGTTGCATTTCCTAAAGAAAAGAAAAAAAAAAGATATCTTTTTGAATTAATTATTAAGGTACAGTGCATGACCTCTTTTTCTATTTCACATAAATTATTTATTCCTACTTGTTATCTATGTCAAATCTATCCCTGATATAATTTTATAATGTAAATATTTTCTATTAGTAATAATAATAATAGTAGTAGTAGTTATTGTAATAGTAGTAGTAGTTGTAGTAGTTGCAGTTGTAGTAGTAATTAATGAAAAACTTGAATTTCCTTTCTCTTGACGTAAAAAAAAAAAAAAAAAGAAAGGATTGAAAAATCATCGAATAAAATAAAACCAATATATAAAGTTGTATTAAAATTTGACGAATTTATAGAACGAAGACATCATTAACGACTTCCCCCTTCTGATCTGGATGTTTTAGGATATAATGGAGCTAAGGAACGGACTTATTTGCGACGACTCGGATGACGAAGATGATAGTAGTCCAACAAATTCACCGATATTACCACGAAGAATCGTACCAAGTCCACCGTTACCTCCAAGACGTCCATCGCCATCACCAACGCCGAGTAATCATCTTCGAAATGGTCGTTCGCATTTGGTTGTTCCAAAAGAAAATGCACCACCTCCGCCATCTTCTGTCACCGTCATTTTAAGTTCAACCGTTGATAGTCAACATAATAAAAGTACTTTCCCAATAATATGTCTAAACGAAATGTCATATTGTAAAATTGATATTAATCGAGATAATAATGAATTTGTTGTAGTTAATAACGAGGTGAAGTACGATATGTTACACAGAGCATCCTCACCATCACAAATACCACCTGTACCACCTGCGGTACCACCCACAGTAATCAGAGGAAGCAGTCACGTTCGATCATCTCACGGAAATCACGTATCCGCCATAGTTCACGTTCCACCGATATTACCTGAGAAAGGAAATCGTATTATTTCAACTAATTGCACAGCAACAATAACAACAGCGACTACGACGACTACTACTACTACCACGGTAATGGCAACAACAACTGCAACTGCAACAACAATAACAACAACAGCAATAGCAACTACAACAACAACACCTACAACAACTACAACTTTAATAAATGCAAATAATATTGTACCACCGGTACCACCACCCTTATCTGCCCCGAGACCACCAAAAGGAAGCAAGGAAATTTCCAAACAAGATCACCAATATGAAAATACAATCGTCATACCTGGTACAAGGCAACACGTTGTGAAAAATATCAATTTCGAGGTAAACCGAGCACGTTTGACTGCTCTCATGAAGGCTAGGGATGATATTAATGGTCCAACAAGCAAACCGGAAGCTGCTGCTTATGAAAATGTTAATATTGAACATATCACCAGGCTCACCTCGCTTGGTTTCGCACAGGATGCTGTGATAAGGGCTTTGGGTATCACGAGGAACGATTTTGAAATGGCTTGCGACATTTTGCACGAATTCGCGACGAAATCTTGACCCGGTAATACAACACTTGGATTTTTACCTATTTAATCTGATTTATATCGTAGATATTTCTCTTTTTCGCTACGCGATCAATCGTGTTTCTTATTGTTGCCTTTTTTCATATTTTTTTTTAGGCTCGACCACTGCTGGATCATGACCAGTTTTACCCATAAGACATTATTTTTGACGTGGAAAACGTTATTCTTCGATCGTGATATAAGATATATAGAGACTTCTATGGTGTTAGGAAAAAATCCTTTAGCCAATTTAACTTCCTATCTATCTTATCAAATATAACTATCTCTCTGTAATTGTTCTTTTTTTTTTCTTTCTTTTTTTTCCATATAATTTAGCATCAAACAATGCTAAAAATGTAAAATCGTATGAGATAACTAACGATGAAGATTGCATAATCGTGATGGAGTTAGCATAAACGAAAAAAGGAAAGAAGAGTGAAGAAACGATGATATTCGTTGAAGTATATTATCTATTTAAAAAAAAAAATAAATTATTTATAATAATTAATATAAATATATAACAATCACTCTCTTTAACGATGTATAATCTTTATTGTTAGTTATGATAAACGAGCACGAAAAAAACTACGTACGCAAACTCCCATTTAAAAATACCGTGGTAGATTTTGTGCGATTACTTGGGACTGACGAATTCAAGAAAGAAATATAAAGATATTAGTTATAATAGTACTAAAAGAAGAAGAAGAAGAAGAAGAAGAAGAAGTAGAATAAAGAAAAGAAAAAATAATACGTAATTATTTATACCCGCCGAGTACAAAGTATTTTTTTTGCGAACTTCACTTATATCCAACAAGCGTAAAATGCTACTACAATTTTTCATTTACTTTTATTTATTTGTAATTCTCCCCCCCCCTCTCTCTTTGTTTTTTTGTATTTTTGTCTCGCACAAATAACGAAAACAATTCTTTCTAGATGTATACTTAAAAGTCTTACCAATTAGCAACAAAAAAAAAATCATTTTATTATTACATTCATCAGTGCGGAATTAACGATGATAATTAAATTACGATGATTGAAAAGATAACACGGTGATGAGAAAGTTAACACGACGTACGACGATGTGTGTATATGTGCAAATACGTTTTAACGTATTTATCAAATGTGATACTTATGTTTGATATGTGTGTATTGCAATAAATGCAGACCCTCCCCCCCCCTATTGACTGTTCTGTCGTATCCTATCGATATATAATTAACAGAAAAAAAGATGATTATATAGTTAAATGATAATTATCATTCGCGTTTTAAACACTCCTACGCATTGGGATTAGTATATCAATTGGCTATGCAATGCTATATTATCTATTATCGATCCTTTTCTTATGTAGTTTGCACAACTAGTCGATTATATGAATATATATATATATATAAATATATATAAATAAATAGTTATGTATTAATATAACTACTCTGTAACATATATTTGTTATGTTACAAACTGTACTGATCCCATCGTTGACCTAATGATAATAATGATATTGATAATAATATTTAAAATAATAGTACGCGTTATGATCGAAAATTGATATCAAAAGTCATTTTACTAATTTAATTTGATGATCGATAACCGTACCAATATATCGAGATAATAGTCATGCGGATATTATTATTATTCAATTGTTATAAATGTTTCAATAACGATGCCATTTTTTTTTTCAAACCTTATCCTATTATTTAGTTACTTATTATTTTTGTTTTTATATAATTGTATATCCGTTTATTTATCATATTTTATAATTGTATATTATTTTTGTTTGTTTGTATTTATCATTTACAAATGATGAAAAACTCTCAAGTGTGAATATATATATATATATATATATATTTTTTTTTTTTGTTTTTAATTCAAAATATCGCGTTAGGATTCTTATAACAATTTAATATTTTTTAATCCGCGTGGTGTATAATATAAATGACGAATTTTGTAACATAAAGTGTATTTTTTAATAGCATCGCTCTTCGCGAACTTCTATTTTCTACGGTCAATGAAGTAACATTATTTATTTATTGGATAATAACTTCGTTGTATGTATGTATGTATCATCATTTCATGATTTAGTTGAAATAGAAAATATTAAATTATTGTATTGTTAATTCAAATATCCAACGTTAAATATATATATATATTAACCCTTTGCACTCCGCACAACTTTCGACGCTGGGTAGCAGCTACTCCGCGCCACAGAAATGGCACATTTACAGACCCTCGTATTATTTAGTATAACTTTGGAATCAAGTAACGGATTCTAATGATATTGGACTTATATTAATCTGTAAACATCAAGGAATATATTTATCTAAAGAATTTTTACCAAAAAAATCTTATTTACCAAGAGAATGTATATGTGTAATAACGTTGCAATTGAAAAAAAAGCGAGCGTGTTCCATTGTATTTGAAATGTGACACTATTTGATAATATTTCTTTATACATTATAAATGTCATTATAAAATGCGAGATATATGCTTCTATAAAAACCTTTCTTGTACAAATTCTTCTTATCACTCTTCTCAAGTTTTGCCAAAAAGTTCTCGGACCCGTCGTGAGCACGCGTCTCGCATTCTCTTCCAACACAAAACCCGCTGACATTTTTTTTTTATATATCTTTGTTATTTGACTATATTTTGATTCAATGTCTTGTGCTATTTTAAGAGAAAACATCAGGGAAACATGCATGTCTCAAAAAAAGTTGTGCTGAAATAACTTAATTCAGAGTCAACGATGTCTTATACAGTGAGATACAGCGGAGTATAAAGGGTTAATAATACTTTGGATGTTCTTTTACGTCTCTTGACAAAGTAATAGAGTTTAAGTATTTCTTATAAATATATTCCAACCAAAAAAAAAAATGATATTTCAATTAATATTACCGAAGGAAGGAAGCTACGTAAGAGGAAATCGTATTGAAATTGAAAACCTTTTTTTGTTCATTTCAATGTAATAAAAACATCTGAATGTTATAGGCGCTCCAAACAAACAACAACAACAACAAAATATCTCTATAAAATAATATATTATGTATAGAGCTTGTCCTACATCATTCTACATTCATATCTATACACGTTGACCATGTACCAATTATATATAAGAAGAAAAAAAAAAGAACCGCCCTCTCCCCAACAAAAAAAAAAAAAAATAAGAAAGAAAATAATGTCGCTTTATAAATTATTAAAGTAAATGGTACGATAAATATCAAGTGGTATGGCGCTTTCTTCAACCAAGTTTCTTATGATACTAGGATAAGAAAAGTGCTTTTATTATAAAAAAAAAGAAAAAGACAAAATCATTTGCCATGAAAGGAAAAAAAGAAACAAGTTTTGTTTCACTCTTGTGCATTATAAAAAAATATTCATCCTTTTACGCCATAAAAATCTACCTCGCGATAATGCCAAAGATTAATCATCATGAATAATATTTGAACTCGAACAAAGATATATACACAACTGGATTGGATTTAATTTTCTTAACTGTAACTGTAAAAACACATTTAATTTTGTTTTAATGTACATACGTATAATTTGAAAGCGATCTTTAAACAAACAAACAAAAAACAAAAAATTACTTCATCTTATTACATATCGCATTTAAAGTATTGAATATGTTTGAAGTAAATTCACGCAGCAATCCCTATCTTCAAATTATATATATATATATATGTCCTTATAGATAAACTTGGTAAGTTTAGCTGCCCTATTTTTCTATATTGTATATTTATCTCGCTGTATTATCGTGTACGTAATATCTTATTGGCAAAGTAGACAATTTGATGATCCGTAAAAGTAGTTTATCCGAATATTCCGTTTTCTTCTCTATGAAGAAACTCTCTCTCTCTCTCACTAGCGTTCAAAATTAATCGATTGGTGCAATATTTAGAATAGAATAGAATGTGTAGATAGATTGATTTTTTTTCCTTTATTTCATTATTCACTCTGTATAAAAAAAATTGTTTTACTATATTTCTTCAAATAAAAATAGAATATCGTTTATATAAAGGTCATGTAATATATATACCTGTAGAATTGATTAGAGTACAACCTTATGTTTAGAAAAATATTATTAAATAGAAAATCTAATTAAGCATTGATAAATATATTATTATTATTTTTTTATTTGTTTTAAATATACATATGTACAAAATTTATTTTAAAATATTAAGAGTCTGAAAGTTCTCATCTGGAAGAAAATTCTTTTTGCATTTTTTCGTATCTTCGCATTTCTTCTTTACTAACAGATGGACTCCAATTATGTATCGCTTGTTGAAAATCTGACAATTCAACAATTACATAATTCAATTGTTCAAGAATATTTCTAACATTCTTGTCTGTTGTTGTAGTAGTAGTATTATTCTGTTCATTATTGATAATATTAAGAATCCTACGTGCAGCATTGAGCCAAGCATTGGAACAAATAGAATATAAATCAGCACCGGTAAGATTAACAGGTAAATCTTCTTTAAGTTGCATCAACTCGTTACCATCATTTAAAAATGTAAATTTGTATGTTAATGCTTTCAAAACATTAAGTTCAGAATCAAAATTCGAATGTATTCCAACGTATAACAATTTGTCAAATCTACCAGGTCGTAATAAAGCCGGATCGATTAAATCTGGTCTATTTGTAGCACCTATGATAAAAATGTTACTTGCTTTTTCAAGACCATCCATTTCTGCTAACAACTGAGAAACGACACGATCCATAACGCCACCACTGTCTCCATTTTTACCACGATTAGGAGCCAACGAATCTAACTCGTCAAAGAAAATGATGCATGGTGCTGCAGAACGTGCTCTTTCAAATACTATACAAAGATAATCATTGAAATTAATTATATTATCTTATTTATCATTATCACAAATACCTTTCTTCTTTACCTTGTCTAACATTCTTTTCACTTTGTCCGACATACATATTTAAAACTTCTGGACCTTTAATAGACAAAAAGTGAAGTTGATATTCCGTAGCAACTGCTTTAGCAATAAGAGTTTTTCCTGTTCCGGGTGGACCATATAAAAGTATACCAGATTGTCCAAAACCAAAATTATTTAATAGAGGTAAACGAATTCTACGAGTGATCTCGTGTTTTAAATCTTCCAATCCACCAACATCCTTCCATTGTACTTTCGGTATGCGTGGCATTCCTTTGCAATCCATATTTATCGATTGTATATATTCTAAAATAAAAAGATAAATTCTACTTCCAATTTGTATACTAAATAGATTGAAAAAGATAATATAAAATATAATAATAATAATAATAATGTTACCATAAGCTTTAACAAAGTCATCCTTTGTTAACGTTACGGTATTCTCAAAACATTGCTTAGTTCTTTTACAATATATTTTTATAGCATGCAATATCAATGTTACTAAATCTTTATATTGAAAATCCGAACACAATTCAGCTATTTTTAATAAATCCGCATCGTAATTTATTCTTTGACACGATAATTGCCATTTAATAATATCCATTCGTTGTTGACGATTCAAACTTTCCAAAGTAATAGTTTCTGTAAATATTCGATGTAATTCACCAGGAATTTCAGACCCATCTGAAGTAGCTATTATTATAATTGGATAATTTAGAGCTTTACTATAAAGATCATTTATCTCTTTTACAAAAGCAGATACAGTTCTTTCATCTTTCTGTCCTTCAAACGTTTTACCAAATACCTGTATAAATAATATTATTTTTGTTAACAATATTTAAACAAATTAATACGTATATATATATGAAATGTTTGAAATACCTGAATATTGTTCAAACAAATTATACATGGAGCACATTTATTAGCATTGTGCATCAAAATACGTAATTTTGCTTCGGTTTGTGCTGATATTAATGTTTGTATTTCGGAAAAATCTGTATTAAGTAAATGCAAGCCCGTTATTTCCGAAGTTATTTGTACTATTTCGTTAATTGCAGAACCCGGTGGACCCGTCAAAAGGAACACAGGTTTTACGTGTAACTGTATATCTGTAAAATAAATATTATTTAATCTATATCATAAAATACATATGCATACAAAATAATAATAATAATAATAACAATAATGACACAGTTCTCACCAGATTTTATGAACGGTAAAATACAATCTTTCAAAGAATTGCATGATTCCACCAATGTTGGTGGATAAGTTTCAAGATAATAATTATAATCAGAATTTATTTTTGCAATTGAAATTAATTTGTCTGATAATAAGTAATTTCTTTTACAAGGAAGATAACTGTTAATATTATTAACTTGTATAAGTGATGTTTCTCCTTGTACTATAAAACAACCATTGCTGATCAGATCATTACCAAGTTTTTGAACTATGATTTTAAAATATACCATAGATGGTATTTGATTAGTAGAATACGTATGATCCTTTGCATATTCTTTTACATTGATACTGAATACATCTTTCCATCTTAAAAAACGTGGCTTGGAAAAGTAATTTTTTAACAATGAATCTATTAAGTCAGTTGTACAATCATATGGATTAGAAATTAGCGAGACTTTAACTTCACTCGCAAAATTAATGATATTATCTATTGTAGGAACTGAAAATATAAACAAAATTTGTATAATTTGTTTTCATCCTTACACATCAACTATTTACATTGCAGTAAATGAAAAAACTTACCAAGAAATAATTTATCGTTCAAATCTATGCAATGAAAAAACTGTTCTAAATTATGTCGCATAGTTTCAGAAACATAAATTACATTTTGTTCTGTATCTTTGAAAGGTACAATTAATACTTTATATTTTTTACAAGATGACTTGCAACATAGATTAAACCAAGTTGGTATAACAGGTGTTTTAATTTCATCTACGTTTGTTAATATACATACATAAGGATCTATATAATCATGAACATGTTCAATTTGTTTATTTATCAAATGTTTCATAGCATTATCCGATAAGGTAAAGCAATGAATTGTTGTTTTCATTAACCTTTTGAATTTAAATTGCATGTAATATAAAAATATATAACTGAGAACAAAATAAGGATTTTGTCTCATATAGGTTTGAATTAATGATTGTAAGAAAATGACATAAAATGACCACGAATACATTGTTTAATAAAGATAAACAATTTTTTTTACAGAAAAATTATTATTATTATTATTAAATGAACACAACTAGTCAAACAAACCATTTAAATTTGTTCCAATTATATGATTTATAAATCCAAATGTTGTAAGTAATATCAGATAATTCTTTTGATAATGGTTTATACATAAAAAAAATGTATATACATATAATTTGTTAATATAATTTAGTAATATAAGGAAATGAATTTCATATTAATATTTATTATCATAAATAACACATTACATTGTGTAATCAATGCAAAAATAAATGTGAACCACTGTCCAGTAACAAAGAATGATATTGTCATTGGTTGAATGTTTCTCTTAGAAATGAATTTGAAAAGAAGACGTTGAGAACCACTGATGTGCATCCTTGGACCAATGGGTATCAATTGTGAGTGTTGCTATAGTAACACACGTAGATCGAGAAGTTGCGGACCAAAAACGAGGTCTCCCCCTCGTCTAACAGCTGTACTTGCCTTCTCTGTACTGTTGGTAATTTTTGGTTACAGTAATTCATGTTAAAACTAAATGTTTAAACTTTGATCGAGCTTCTCAACTTTCATGAATTTTAATTGATCGATTTCGTTGAAAACGAGAATATTTAATAGTGAAATTGTATTTTGGCAACAGTGTCGCTTTACTTCTAGATCATTTGAAAGTGCACCGTAGCAGAAGACATCGAAAACCGTTGGTGATTTGATAGTCGTTAAGTAGAAACCTAACCTAACATTGTCTACTCCGATAGCGTCCTTATTGCAATTTTTCATAGCGAGTTAACTTCGAATTTAAATAACGAATGTAATATTAAGAATATTATGCACTATAGTGGTAAGTAAACGTATTAATATTAAATATTGAAACGATATTAACAATTTTCTTTCGAATCTTTGCTTGATATATATATATGTCCGTTGTTTTGTGTCACCGATTCTCGATTAACTGTTACACCATTCGTAAGGATGCGTATATGCCGAAATCGTACCATTTCTTTATTTTTTTTTTTTTTAATATTAATTACAATTTGACAAGAAAATTATTCAATTACAGTTAAGTTTTAATAATATTTCAATCATATTTATGTTCATACTCTGTTCGTCGTATTAAATTTTTATACAGGTTATTAATGTGTTAATCCTTTAATCGTGTGAAACACATTTAAATGTTATTTGTCATATTATATGCATTTGATTATATATTTTTTATTTGTTTTTTAATTTAACTGAAATATTTTAGTGTTTCTTCTTCAGAGTGTAAAACGTAAAACGTAAATTGTTAAGCGAGGAATGGATCCTGCAACTGTCATTGCTCTGTGCAAGGAAAACATTCAGCCACTCCGTTACGGTAGAAATGCAGCACAATTGGGAACAGCATTAAGAGCACAGGAAGATGCAGAAACTCAACAATTACTTCTTCAGGAAAAGCAGTATGTTTTTATTTTTTTTTTTTTTTAACTCTTATTAATAATCATTGAAGAATTATTTTAAAAAACCAATGCATTTCTCTTCTTAGAATGTATGAAGACGCAATTAGAAATTACGAAGGAGACGATCCTTTAGAAAATTGGTACGAATATATATCATGGATTGAACAAAGTTATCCTAAAAGTGGTCATGAGTCGCATATTGGAAAATTATTGCAACAATGTTTGGCTATATTTGAAAAGGAAACAAAGTATTATCAGGATCAAAGATATATACGTCTTTGGATCAATTATGTGAGTCGTTATGTTTATCTTTATTTTGATATTTTTATTAAAATAACAATAATAAAAATGAATTTATTAAAAATACTTTGATTGTAGATAAATATGCAAAAAAATCCTTTAGAATTATATCAACTTTTATATAATAATGGAATCGGAACAATGGTAGCTGACATGTACAGAGCATGGGCCTTTGAATTAGAACAAATAGAGGATTATAAACAAGCGGATGAAATTTATTTATTAGGCTTAAGAGCTCGTGCAGAACCATTGGAAGAATTAGATTACGCGCATAAGTAAGAATTGCATTCACTGTAATTGTAATTTTTATATTATTATCATGAAATTCATTGGCATAGTATAATTGAATCATTTAACAAATTAATTCTTATAATCGAACCACTCGTAGAAACTTTCAGTTAGCAGTAGCTCGTAAAACACTTGGACACGTGGACGAAAGAGGTGATACATCATTGTTTGAACAAAGACAAGCTTTTAGTTCATTGAAAGCAATCAAAGCTGGTAAAAAGGTTGGTACGATAAGAACTGGACATCGTGTACGTGATTATTTACCCGGTAGCGTACCTCAGGTTACATCTATGCCGAATACAAGACCAAATGCTCGAGTCCAAATATATCAGGTAAAACATTATATTAAATATTAGACAACATTTATAAATTTTAATATTCGAATTAAATATAATACAATTGAATACAAAATATTAGGATGATATGCATGGTGAAATGAAAGGTGCGAGTATATTAGACCATGTACCCATAGAAGATATGATGCATAAAGAAAATACGATTAAACCTGGACCATGGAACACCGGTATCAAAAAATCTAATTTGTTGTCATCTTCTGTTAAAACTACTGCCTTTAAAAGTATTTTATTTATTAATTATAATTATATATTAATTATAAATTA